TTTTCTATAGGGTGGAAAATTTTCAAAATAAAATGTTGAAAAAATAATCTAAGGTAGTCGCTATGTCCCTCCTTAATCCTCTCAAATATTTTATTTTTTACTACCTATTTCTACTAATTTTGTTATATTAAGATCACAATAATGTAACTGTTCCATAAAGCTGGGCATTATGAGATAATAAAGAGATGCAAGAATTGTAATGCTCTCTTAAAATATAAAGCCTCTATATTAAAAGTCATACATAATTAGCATCACTGACTAGAAACAGTGCTCTTCAAAACAGTCGGCCCTTCATATCTGTGGGATCTGCACTGTGGATTCAACCAACCGTGGACAGAAGATATTTGGGGGGAAAAAATCCAGAAAGTTCCAAAAGCAAAACTCTAATCTGCAAGTACTAAGTTGAATCCATGAGAATGAAGAGAGGTGTAGGCACTGTATTAGGTGATGGTTTAAAGTGTATGGGAAGATATATGTAGTTCATATACAAATACTATGCCATTCTGTAGCAAGGACTTGCATATTTGCAGATTTTGGTACCCACAGGGGGTCCTAAAACCAATCTCTGGTGGATCCCAAGGGACAAGTGTATACCTAAGACTAATAAAGCTCCATGAAGGCAGGGACTGGTCCATTTTGCTCCCCTATGTACCTCCAGCCCCTAGGAAGACTGCATAGTAAAAAGTGGGCACTGAATATCATTTTGGGGATTAAGGAATTAGTTGTATTGTTAAAACCAGAATCTGAGGAGATGACAAACCATGAAAACATTTTTTTCCCTTTCACTAATTCCATTATCAACTTCCATTTGTATGTTTTTAAAGCTTTGTATTTATAAAAACCCAAGGGAGAATAAAACATGTCCAGTAAAGTTTAACATTCAGGTCTAAATAGGTACTTATTAAGTAAGTATTTATTCTTAAATTGACCTAAATACAGTACCTGAGTTTTGTGTTAGTTTATTCTAAAAATCAGGTGCTTCACAACTCTTCCACAGTCCTATAAAAATCTACAAAATGTGAACTTTCACAATTTGCCATTTCTGAATAGGCTCTTCATAACACCGCCTGTACCACACCACCAGGCCTTGGTCTCCATAAAGCAGCTCCTGAGCGCATGCAAAGAAATTCAGAGAGCCACACTGCTGCTTCTTAGTCCCTCAAAGTAAACTCATTATGTGTTAACAGTGGACCCTATTTTCTCTTACAGTGCCTCATTTCCTTTCTTAAATATACTCGCTTACTTGCTTGTTAGGCCTACCTATACAGTAATCTCTATATTAATATCAGCAGAGTAAAACTGATATTCTAAATTTTTAAAAAATTATATAAGACTTTTAAATAAATTTGATATATGATAAATTGATTATACCCACAGTTTAAACAGGAAAAACATCCAAATTTAGGATTTCATTGTTATTTATAATGACAAATAAATTGACCAGTAGAGGGCACTCACAAAAGGGGGGAAGACCTAGCCACAGCCTCGAAGAGAGATACACAGAAGAAACTGCAGTGCATTTCCTATTTTAAAAACGGAATGCTTTAATAGAACACTGGAGTAGTTATCACCCCTGATTGATAACCACTAATATATATGTATAAAATCAGAAAAATAACAGCTTACAACATTACATAAGACTTTTCTTATTCCACGCTTCAACACTGTTTTAATATTATATTATAAATTTTCTCTCTGTATCTACACACTTTCTTCTGCAAGTAAAATGAATTCAATAATTATCATGGGAAAATAAGAAAATAGAGAAACTAGTAAACCTTGGTAAAATAAACATAGCTCAGAGCACAGAAGATGGAACGAATCAATCTAATTATTAATCTACTCTTCATTACTGAGTAGGAAACTGTTCCATCCAAGCAGGGCATAATAACTTGAACTGAATTGTAAGTGTCGCAATAACAAAAGCATTCAGATGTCAAAGAATTAGAGCCTCTGGAAAATACTTCTTGCTATATTTATCTTCACTAGATATTATATGCAGTAGATACTCAATATATATTTACTAATTAATTAACTGATTCTTCTGATCTGTATGTTTATAACTACCTATATTTTTTTAAAGACAAGATTATTCTTCCACCAAATTTTACCTTGGAAAAAAAATTTCAGTGAAAATGTTTTGATAAAAAGTGATCTCAAAACTATAAAAGCATATATTAAATGTTTCTAGCCAAGCATTTTGTTTGGGGGCTTGAGTTTTTAATAATCTTGCCACGCTAACGAGATACTTCATTATCTCTTTGGTGGACTTCATAAAAGATGAAATCTTTCAGAATAAAAGAAAAGGTGACTTTCTCGTGTGTAGCCTCAAATATAAACACACTCCATCTATATGTCATGCCTGCCTAACTATCGTTATCTCTGCCATTAAGTTGCCATTAGATAGCAGACTAATTTCAAATTTGGGTATATTGACAAATCTGAATTAGTCTCTATTATTAAATATCTTCTTAACTTGAAAGACAGGTAATTTTTTACTTTTAAAAAGTTATACAAGGGTACAGTGCAAATTCCACTTAACTAGGTCTCACAAAATTGAAGTTCAAATCCTACCACGTGCTAGCTAAGTATCCTTAGGTGAGTCAGAACCTCTCAGAGACTATTAATTACCTATAAAATCAAAGAAACAATGACCACTCTCTTGATTTACCTCCTGGTGTAAACCTTTGCAAATTCTAAATCATTAAAAAATACAGTATTACTTCACTGAAATTTTTAAAAATTCTTTCCACTAAAAAAAGTAGGAAAACTAATGAGAATTCCAAATGTGCAAAGTCTATGTCCTCTCTAATTTTCTCTCTGACCTACATTATTCACCAAACAAAACCTAATAGCAGCAGTGAAATCTCCCATCCTCCTTAACTTTTTATAACACGGAGTCAGCATTTTTATTCAATCAACTATTTATTAAGTTAAACTACGAAGCTCTCTTGCCTTTCTTATAGTTGAACTGCACCAAGAACTTAATGCGTCAGTTCCCTCAGAGACTCACTGTAACTTCGGAGGTAAGAGATAATCTCAAACCCTTTCCCAGGTGGCTAAACTAAAACAGAATGTCAGTTTCAAAGTTCACAGGTAATCAGTGCTTCCCAGAGTCAAGTCTTCTGGTTTGGCAGAAATCATAATCAGAATTATGGGTTTAAGTTTATAAGCTTTTTCAACCTTCCCCCTAAATAAAGCATTACCTGTTAGCTTTATTTCTTCAAGATTTATATTGTATTTTAACAATTTTGAGCAAAAGGTTTCCTAACCTATTTTATCACATTCGTGATGCCATGCTATATGCATTCATGACCTCTGACAGGACACAGAGTGTAATGGAATTTCTCAGATTTTCAGGAAGATTGAAGGCATTTCTGTTAAAAATCATCTTCCAAAATTCCAGGAAAACTTCCATGCTTAACCCGAATTCTATTAAAATTTCCTTTTACATTTGATGTAAATGGTAGAGTACACCAAGTAACACTGGATTTGGAATATAGATTGAAAGGGTGAATGACTCAATCCTCCTCAAAGAACACAACTATAGTACAGCATTGAACTGACTTGTCAAATGTAAATATATATTGAGATTACTACACAGGCAGTCCACTTCAATTTGACTGTTTTTCTTTACTAAAGCAAATTCTTAAACTTGGAAGGCAAATAAAAGTTGCTTCTATGTTTAAATGGAATCTTTGTAAATCAGCATTACTTCTCCATTTTGCTATAGTACCAAAAATATTTGACATTTTCTTCTGAACAGTTATCTAATCAATGCTCAAAGTTCTAAATCGCATAAACACAGTTCTAAGGCCACTGATGCCCTCAGGATCCACCTCAGTGCAGAGAGTGTCTTTAGAACATTACACAGCACAGTTCCTTAACAGGGCATTTTGACCTGTTAGATTCCACAACTTGGGATTTGGAGAAAGTTCCAGGAAAATTTTCAGAACGGATTAAAAAAAATTGGTACATTAGATCTAGAATAAAACCTAAAGGATTAGAATTGTTTAACCTGGGTAAAGAAGCCTAAGAAATAATCTAACAATATAAGGGTATTTCAAAGACAAAACGATACATTATTTCCATCTCCACTGATGTTAAATTTAACATGAAGATTCAGATTATGCATGAAATATGCTAATAATTATGTTCTGAAAATGGGTTGACAAGGACAGTTATGGAATGTCCCCTCCTGCAGGCCTTTGGATTAAATAAATCCTATCTGCTTGAGATAATCTGAGTATAGTGCTGCCAGAGAAAGTAAGAAATATTACTACCTGACCTCTTACAGTCTCTTCTAGGTCTTTACCTCTCCTTTCGCTATTGGCCTTTACTTCGGTAAGTTTTCATAAAACCCAAAAAGTCTGAAAATAATCCTCAAAAGCTAATTAGTCAAATTGCAATAAAAAATCCTAACATTTCCTTGAGTAAATTAAAAAAGGAATGCAAAGATAAAGATTGGTAGTGGTACAATTATATATCGCACCTTAGGCAAAGAATGAGCTTTTTAAAATATATCACGTAGCTATTGGTTCTGCACTACTTTAATGTTGAAGGGAAAATACTAATTAAGTTAAAGAAAAACCCAATCATCAATTACATTTTACCAGTACAATTCAATCTGATGTCAAAATACCAGGAAACCCATAATAAAAGTTACATTAAAAAGTGACTTTTAGGTATGGATGAGATGCAAATTCACCTTTCCACCCTCTCACAAAACTTAAAAATACACTTCCAAACAAAATGCACACATACTGACACAGTGTGAATGAACACCACGGACCTTGATGTTCTCCCAAGGGAAGTAAGGCTCCCATATTTATGGTTACATATAACTTCAGTGAAACCCAAATACATTTCAGATAACTTAAGACAACTTGCAGTATAATTACCTTGTAATAAGTACTCAAAAAAATGATGAGAGAAACCTTGATTTGTACAAAAGGATGGTCCTGCACAAGTAGTATGTATAATACTAAAACAAGATTTACCTCTATTGTTGGATCATATTCGTCCACAAAGTGATTCTGAATTAGCTGTATCGTCAAGGCACTCTTGCCTACGCCACCAGCTCCAACTACCACAAGTTTATATTCAGTCATTTTCAGCAGGCCTTATAATAAAAATAATGAAAATGTGACTAAATTAGGATATGTGTTATACATGCAGTTAATACTCTAACAAACACTCTTATCAATACCTTTTACACAAACTCACCTTTATGTGGAAAATTATTGCAAAATACCTTATAAAATTCAATGATAAAATTTCAGTTGACTACAGATGTGTATTGTGATAAATTGTACTTCATTTACAAACTCCCTCATCAACATTTGAGAAAAACACATACAGACTACATAGACAGTTCTTTTATTTTATATTCAGGTTGTTCTATCTAAAGAGCCAGACTGCTGTTCTGCAGCAGCTGATGACTCTCAAAGGATCATACCATGACTTCACTCAGTACAAGTGCCTAGCACAGTTCTCTATACCCTGTTGACACACCCACACAAAACTTGTTGACGGCTATCTCCACTCCTATCGGTTCAGTATTCCTAGTTGACTTTCACCTCTAATAGTCAGAAGTAGATATGCTAAGAGTAACTTTTTTGGAGCCAACAACTATAGAAATCTTTATAAAGGCATCATCACAGTAGTTCTCCTGTATAAGGAGCAACAATCATCAGATAGGGGATAGAAGGATGAGTGTCAAATAAAGCTGGACTGTATTATGGTGAAATAAAACTTTAGACACCGAAGCAAATAAAGATAATATCTGAAGACACTTTAATCTGTAAAATACCTCTGGGGAGAATAAAAGTAAAAACTAAGAGCACTTTGAGAACTTTGGATTAACCATTCAGTATAGGCGATTTAATCATCAATCACAATATACAACCCTATCTTAGTGCTGAAAAACAGCACTTTTGCACAAGAAAAATATAATTAAATAAAACAGAGATAAACACTGCTTTTAATAAGAAAAAACTTTTAAAAGGCTGGACGTGGTGGCTCACACCTGTAATCCCAGCACTTTGGGAGGCCAAGGTGGGAGGATCCCTTGAGGCCAGGAGTTCAAGACCAGCTTGAGCAACAAAGCGATAACCCATCTCTACAAAAAATAGAAAAATTACCCGGGCACGGTGATGTGCACCTATAGTCCCAGCTACTTGGGAGGCTGAGGCAGGAGGATTGCTTGAGCCCAGTTTTGAGATTGCGGTGACCTATAGGACAATGCCACTGCACTTGCACTCTAGCTCAGGCTACAAAGCGAGACCCTGCCTCAAAAACAAACAAACAAAAAAAAACAAAAAGAAAAACCAAACTTTTAAAAGATTTAAGTGAATATGACTCAATAATCCAAGTGACTTTTACTTTTTGCTTTTTGTACATCATCTCCCAACATGTGCAACAAACACTGACAACTTGTACAGTTAACAAGCACAAGATAAAAAATAAAATCTGGTATTTTTTAGTCAGCTGTTTCAGACTTTTTGAAATAAAATGAATATATTTAATTTCATCTCCTTTCCCTCATGTAATATATTATTACAAATAAGGAGTGAAATGCAGAAAGAATGACAGTAAATGTACATTTATTATAGGATAAGTAGTTCTAGATTAATGAATATGCATATATTATAAACACTTAATACATGCGGCATCCTATTTACTGAAGACCAAAATTAAAAATAATAATAATAATTTGGTTTTCCAAATAACATACTAACCTTATTCCTGAGCCCCCTCACAAAGAACACAGGCTAGAAAACTATTGTACCAGACTGTTATAGTCCAGCTCTCTGCCCTCCTTGGTTCCACCTATTCTTAGGCACCGCCTGTTGAAGGCCACGATGACAGCCACTACCAGCAAGTATCTTATCCTGTTTGCCTCCATGTTTTATTCCAAATGTAGGCCATAGAAAATGACATACATGAAAAGACTCATTCCAAAATGTACCCTCTAGCTCCCTGTCCACCTCACGCTGCAAAACAGTTTGGATAGCTTAAAAGTGCTATTCTCAAAATGTGGCCTGGGGATGGACCCCTCTGGTTCCTAAGACTTTTCTGGGGTCCAAGAGGTCAAAATTGTTTTCATAATAATAGTAAAGTGTTCTTTACCCTTTTGACTCTCATTATTTCACAAGTGTATATGGCAGAATTTTCCAGATGTGTGATCACAACAGATTGAATGCAAATGCAGATATGAGAATCCACTATTAAGTTGCACAATTGAAGAGATTTGCGAAAAATTACTCTTCTAATTTTTGGTTTTACTTTGGAAAAATCCCTTTTCATAAAGTATTTTGTTCCTGTTACCAAGTAATTGCCTTATTATTTCTATTTTTAAATGAAGTTTTTTAAATTTCTCAGTTTTATATGGTGAATATTGATAGATCCCATAGAAATCAAAGATTTTTGAGACCTTCAATAATTTTTAAGAACGTAAAGGAGTCCTTAAGACCAAACAGTTTGCTAGCCTAAGAGATACTGTGGACAGATAATGGATTAGAGTTTAGTTGTATATGTATGTCTGAATTCAGAGACACACACTTTCTGGTCTACTTGTTTATGTGGTGGTTGTTTCCAGGGGAAAAAAAAAAATCCTTGACTTGGATTTTTAAAACCACTCAATATTGAAATCCACTAGAAAGAACTGTGTTCCAAAGGAGTTTTATTGAATGAAGATCACATGTCAGAAGGGGCCCTCTCACCCAAAGTTGCAAAAGCTGGCAAGAAGTGGAACTGGGAATAAAACCCAACAATTTTTTTAATCATAAAAAAATTTACTTGTATTTGTCATAAAATTAAATTTACCATCTACAATCTCTTAAAATCAAGTATGGTGTGGATGCCTACAGTCTCAAAGTAAATAGTATTGATATCAATCATATTTGATGTTTATAGTCTATCACATGCAGAAGTCAGCATTTTGGACCTTTGTCACTTAAGAGTGACACCAGTTATATGGTTAACTCTGTGCTGATAATTACAAACAGATCTTTTCCCCGTATAATTTCCTTTTAAATTATTTTCTATTAGAAACATACACACATATTGTGTAACAATTAGAAAATACCTTTCTGTTTTTAACCCTTCGTTTTGATTTAAGAAGGCTAGCTTAGGACTTCAGCTATAATAAGCACATACCTAAGAGAATTTCAGGCAGTTAGCTGGCCTATTGCTACAATTAATTTCTGTTAGTCAGTTTAAAAAATCATGTGAATGCTGTCTAGTAGTATTGTAATAACTCCTGGGATGGGAAACAAATCTGTAAGGAAGAGGGTAATATAGAAGAGATGGGGGAAAGGACAAGAACAGGCAAATTAAATTTCAAGTACTATTTTAGCTACTGCTGTCTACACTCAACTAGCAAAGAAAAAGCCTTGCTTCTACTCTGTGGGTTTTCTTCGTGTGTTTTAACTTGACCAAGCAAAACAGACCTTCTGGGATTAACTTTTTCCTTTCACTGTAGGTCACAGGCTTTACGTGTAGGGTGTTGGCCACCTGTTCTTCCACTACCATCTCTACCTCCACCTCCTCCTTTGTGGCCACAGCAATGTCATAGCCCATACATGGGGGAGGGGAGCAGTCAGGAACTCGGAGGCAGATGCATTTTTTTCCCAAACACAATAACCTCAAACAGTGGTCTCTAAGTACTTGCCTAT